ACCCTGACTGTTGCAATATCTAAGTGTTGCAATTTTGGTTTCCAAGTGTGGTGATTAGGGAGTGGGGAGCTCTAGGCATCAGTCTCATGATCTGCCAATGGGAGCAAATGTCACAAGGCATTCCTTGTGGCTCCAGTGGTCAGGCCTTTGCCTCAGGCCTGCTGTATGGCTGTCAATAAGACTTTCACCCTAGGCTCAAGCCTGTCTCCCACAGTGGTGCATACCTTTAATCCCAGCAGTTGGGAGGCAGAGGCAGGGGAATCCCTGTGAGTTCCAGGCCAGCCTGGTGTACATATGAGTTCCAAGCCAGTTGGGGTTACAGGGAGACCCTATATCAAAAAGACCAAAAAAGAAAATAATAATATATAGCTTATAGGTAATTTCTAATTGTTGCAGAAAGAACATTGTTTTTACAACTATATAAAATTCCATTGGAAGAATGAAATATTGTTTAATCAGTTCCTTATTGATATTCCACTCAATCAGTTTTCAATTGTAAAAATGCTGTACTGAATTTTTTTTTACTTTTTTTCTTTTTATAAATAAGAGTAGACAGGTACGTGGTGGTAAATGCTAACTGTCCATATTCACATAGAGACACAGTGTAATCTCTGAGCCTGATATACAGAGAAAGGAGGAAAAAAGCTAGAAGTCTATGCACTACTACACAGGGGCCCAGCACCCCCAGCTTCCAGCAGAGTCAAGGGAGCAGGAGGGTTTTTTTTCCCCCACAGAGCACAGTGGTGGTGGTGGTGAGTCCACAGTTTCAGACAAGAAGGGACCAAAATGAATAGAACAGGAGAGTGGAGGTTCTTTTCCTGTTGCACTCTGCTCAAGGCCATTTCCCCCAAATATGTTGAGAACCATCATGTTGAGAAAAGAGACTTCAAAAACAGGGTGACTGAGCACAAGGCGGGGGGCAGGGGGAGGGTGAAGAGTGGTCATGAGAAAAGAAATGGAAACACTGATTAGAAACAATCAATTTTACAATTGATTAAAATTAAAAACAATTTTACAGTCAGAGAATACTTTTCCTTGTCTTCCCTGTTCAGACATCTAAATATCACACATATTTCACATATAATGTTTTAAAGTTTTATTGTGAACTTGAGGAAGGTGTGCATACATCTTAAAAATAATACAGTGAGTTTCAAGTGACAACTGTGATAAAACATGTGGTCACAGCTTAAAAGTCTTTAAGCACAGATTACTTGACAGTGATCACAATGCAACTCAAAGATGAGTAAGTCATTTCCAGATTATTCTAGAGTGTTCGGCCATGTAAATGCCTCAGGGCAAGGCTAGGTCTTGAGTAACTGACAGCAGCGCTTCACTCCATCCCGAAGGGCCTCTATGACTTTGTCATTTCAGAGGGTGAGGGTGAAAGGGTTCAGGAAAGGAGTCACGATCGAGATTATCAGGGAAACGACCCTGTTGTACTCAGCTGCCTGTGTCTGCTTGGGTTTCACGTAGAGGAAGAAGCAGCTCCCATAGCCAATGACAACACAGGTGAAGTGGGAGGCGCAGGTGGTGAAGGCTGTCCTCCAGCCAGAGGCTGAGAGGATCTTCAGGATGGTGGAGATGTAGGTGTAGGAGACAATTGTGGGGATCAGAGAACCAAAAAGAACAAAAACAGCCATTAAGAAGAGAATAAACTCTATGAAAACAGTATTGCTACAGGATAGTTTGAGCTACTGTGCTCGGTCACAGAAGGGATTGTTCACCATATTTGATTTGCAGAAGGTGAGGTGAAATGTGGCATACACTGGCCAAATTTGAAAAAGGAATCCAAACACCCATGACACGACCACCACAGAGTTGCAGGTGCCACTGCTCATGATGACGCTGTATCTCAAAGGGTTGCAGACAGCTACATAATGGTCCACAGCCATGGCTCCAAGCAGCAAAAACTCCGTGGTCCCCAGAGCAAGTTGCAGGAAGAGCTGGGCAATACATCCAGCCAGAGATATCGTCTGCATCCTAGGGAGCAGCAGCCCCCAAAGCATCACAGGGACAATGACGGTTGTGACTAGGATCTCCACGACAGAGAGGTGAATGAGGAAAAAATACATGGGGGACGGCAGACATTTATCAACACAGAATCACAATGATGACCCAGTTTCCCATCAATGTCACTAAGTAGAAGAAGCAGAAGACAGCAAAGAGGATGTGGTGGAGCTCTTCAGAGCCAGGGAAGCCAACAACATACAATTCGGTGACACTAGTGTAATTCCCCAACATTTAGTTCAGAGACCTTTTTCCTTGTGAAACAGAAAATGGGGGGAGGGACTGCTTCTTACCACCAGAGCATTAAAGACATTAGGCTGAAGAAATATTCCGCTTTTGTTCTTAACTCCATAATATAGCTACAATTTTCTATCTCTAGTTGATATTAATGTTTAATAACATATATATGAATAGATACACAAATTAATATATGTGAACATGCATAAAAGAAGTTCAAGTATATGAATGCTAGTCATCAACACTGCATTATAAACACAAAATCCCACCCAGTGTAGCAGGCACCGTATCTCTCAATACACCAGAAATCTTGCCTCTGGTCTGCTGTGATCAGCTACCCTTCTAGTTCCCTGATCACAAGCTCTTCATTTATATTACCATGTTACCACTTCTTCTTGACTGGCATTAAACTGTCTCTAACAACTGTGTCCCCATCTTGCTACACTTCAATTATCATAACTACGGCTGGTCAACCCCACACAGACATGGTTCCTTCTTTGCTTTATCCCTCTGAACATGGGTTTCAACGGCACTGTGTTCATTGCAGTTTTCCCCTCTGTTATGTTGCTCCAGTATGGAATGTGGCTAGGAAGTGGGGTTCTACCTAGGACATTGGCATAAGAAATGACCTCATCTGAAATAAAGCATTGTGACTTCCCCTGACTCTGGGACTTGTTCCCTGGAGTAGACTGCCCTCTTCCACTTTGTTATGATGAAAGCCAGCTCCCACACACTTTACCTTAGTAAATATGTTTCACCCAAGCAGGCTAGTGGACCCCAGAAGAAGTGAAGGGGCTGAAACGTTAGTCTTCGACTCCTATCTGTTCTGCAAAGTCTCCACCTGAGACCAGAAGGCAAGAAAACTGCTGTGGAGTAGACACAATATCTCCTATATCCCTCGGGTCTCAAATTCTAGTTTCAGTAGGAAATAAAATAACCAGGGTGCTCCTATATCCAACCTTCTATTGGTCTCAGTCCCAAAGAGCAGGTTGGAGATTCCACATCAGCTCTACTGTGACCACTTATTTTCTCCACAGTCCAGGGAGAGAGAAAAAGCAACAGAAACCACCAAAATGGGTCACCTTGAGCAGCTTGGCATATCTTAGTGCCTTCCTTCCCCTCATTCAGGTCTTTGCATAAACATCTCTCCATGGCTCTTTCCCTTCTTCTCTAAAACACATAGTATATCTTCACTCTCTAACCTCTGCTGGGCTGTACTTTCCTTATCATTGGTATCCTAAATGATGCTCTTACTTGCTTATTAATGTATCTTCAGAATCTCACATTTAATTAGTATTTCCAAGGTAGGTTCCTTCTCTTTCTTACTTTATCTTTCTTATATTGCCAAGAAATGTTTTGTAATACTAGTGTTCTATGACTTTTTAATGACTATACCAGTGAATAGAGAAAAAGCCAGAGACTAAACAAAAACTTTGCATCACGATTAGTGTAGTATCTGTTCACTCCATTATAAAGCTCTGCCAGTCAATCTGCAGGGTGTCTTTCTGGAGAGCTACAAAATGGCGAGCAGACAGAGGAAGGACAGGAGAAATGAATGGCAAGATCTTGGGGATTTGGGGGAAAGGCAGATCATCGTGCCAGTCCTGGACAGAACAGAGGTAAATCAGTTCTCTGCTAAGGGGGTTGATTTGACTCCCAGCTCACTCTCACATCACCTCTAGCCCACCCTTCAGGCTGCCTGGGCCCTGGCTCTAGAAGATTCCAAGCCCAGCCCTTCCATGGTGCTTTATTGCTCTGATACCTCATAGGGAGGAGCTCCTGGAAAACACTCACCCCCAGAGAAGAAAGTTCCACTAGGAAGTTCAATGTTCTCTGGGGATGACCTAGGCTGTCTATCTCCTGACTAGTACAGACCTATGGCCAGAGGCAGGGGCAACTGTTGCTGCCCCATTCATCATGAACAACATTGTCCACACAGAGAGATGCTTAGGAAATGTTCAGAACTCATAGCAGTGAGGAAAACTCCATCATCTTCCTTTCTTATACTGTCTGCTTCCTTCTTTCTCTCCTGCACCTGCCCCGGGGATAGTTACTCACTAAGGAACAATTTGTGAAAGGTTAGAGATGCACTAAGGATGTTGGCAAGGAAAAGCTGAGCAGAACTTTCACCCTTCCCTTCTGAGGCTACTCAAGTTTTAGAACGCTGAAAGGTTGCTTAGTAAGTAAGCTCAAGGCCTCCCTCCTCAGGAACCTCTCAACTGCCAGATCACCTTCCACCCAGATTCTAAGCTAGCATGAAACAACCCACTGTGAAGTGGTAGTAGCCTCCTAGTTGGCGCCGCACCTGTCTCGATGCAGTTTAGCCCAACTACAGATTCATAGTGCCACAGCCAATGGAGACTACTCAGCTCAGCCATTCAGCCAGGTATTATTTTTGTAAGGGATACAAGTGCTATGCCTCCCTGAGCTGTCTAAATTGAGGGGTAAAACATAAAGAACCAATATCCAAAAGTGGCATAAAAATGATGATGGCTGGGATACTGAGTAAACTGTCAAAATTACATTTAAAATTATTTTAGGGATTGAGAGATGGATCGTGGAGAAAGTGTTTGCCACACAAGCATGAGAAACTGAGTTAAGATCCCTAGCACCCATGTAAAAATTTGGGTGTGGTGTCACTCTAGCACTGGAGGATCCCAGGGGCTTCCTAGACAGCCAGTCTGGCAAATTGGTGAACTCTAGATGCAGAAAGAGAGCCTGTCTCAAAAAAAAAAGTGCATTGACCTTTTACAGACTACAGCTGCTATAAGTTCATGAGTGTGGTGGTCCTGTCATATCTAGAAGGTATTGTTTTGCCTTGGTCCTCTCTCAGCTCTGACTCATAATCTTACCAGCCCCTCTTCCCCAATAGCCCTTGAACCTTGAGGGGAAGGATGTGAGACAGATGTCCCATTGATGCTAAGCACTCCACAGGCATTTATTCTTCACACTCAGACCAGTTGTGAGTTTCTGTGTTAATCACCATCCACTGCACCAAGAAACATCTCTCTGATGAGTTCTGAGAGCTGCACTAATCTATGAGTATAGAGATATGAATTTAGAGGGCAGTTTGATGCTGTGTTCATTAATAATACTAGCAGGTTTATCTATGGAGCCTATTAGCTGCCCAGCCATAGGTTCTTGGACAGGTTTACAGTACTAAGCATGTGTTTCTTACTGTGGAGTTGTCCTTATATCCAACCAGAAAGCCATTGGTTACCCCCATAACATTCATGCCTCTATTCCATCCTTGGGCATATCTTGCTAAGCTAGTCATTATTAAGTTCACAGGTTCACAACTGGGTAAGACTGTTGATAACTGCATAATGCTATGAAAGCTAGTCAGTAAAGATGAATTGTCAACATCAGTACTAAGGCAGTCAACATTCCAGTATGGAGTAGGGAGGACCTCAAGAATTACCACACACTTGGCTGAGAAGCTACTGACAACCAAGGCTACTGGGGAGGGAGAGTCAGTGTTATTGTGCTTCAGTGGATGACCTCACACCTCTAAGTATATGGGCAGCACAAACTGGTTTCAGTGGGAGATATATACAAATAAATAAATAAATATATATATATATGTATATATATATATGATTTCCAGCACCCATATGGCGGCTAACAACATCCGTAATTCCAGTTCCAGGAGATTAGGTGCCATCTTCTGACATCCTCAGGCATTGCACAACACAAGTGCGCTTACATACATGCAGGCAATACACCCATACACGTGAAACAAAAATTTTAAATTCGTAAAAATATTTTTTAAAAAGAAACAAAAAAAATTGCATAAAGGGACATACTATAAGCTTTAAATGCCCCTCATTTCTTATACTTGATCCTCCTGATGCATTTAGGATATGGGAGGACATGAGGTGGGAGGTATATGGAAACGCCATCTACAGGGAATCCTGGACACAATGTCTGTGGAACCATACTAACACATCACTATATATGTAAATATATATGTGAGTATGAGCATGTATGAATTAGACTTTTCCAAATTATGATTATATATCAATCACATTTAAATGAATATTTAATAAATACAGGTATATAATGACTGTAATAATATTTATTTAATTAGTATGTGTCCTAGTTTGGGCCTAACCAGGGATGACATTGCCCACAGTGGGCTACGCCCTCCTAAATCAATCAACAATCCAAACATTGCTCTACAGCTATGTCCGCAGACCAGTCTAAGGAGGAAATTCCCCAGTTAAGATTCTCTCTCCCCAGGTATGTCTAGGTTTGTGTCAAGTTGACAAAAATTAACCAGCATAGTATGTTGGTCTCTGATTTTTCTGTAACGTTTCTGAAGGTCCCTCAAGATCAAGCCACCGTATCCCTCACTGGTAATAGAGGCTGCCACTCCTAAGCCCTGCAGCCCCCTTGACCCCTGGAACAGAGATATGTGCAGCCCCAAAGAATTTCCTTTCTGGGGTCTCCTTCCTGGAGGCCAGAAAGAGCTGCACAGCACCAGACCAGAGCCTCTCACTAGTGAAGTGAGACAGAAACCCAGAATGGATTTCCAGACCAGGTAAAAGGAGACCCCTCTCGCCCCCCAGAGTAGACAGATAGAAGCCGGCACAGGCTGATCCCCCATAGGAGGCTACATACAAAGTCTTGATGTGATTTCAAGATGGCACTGACCTCCAGGCAGGAAGGAAAGGGAACCACAATTAAACCTGGATGTGATTCAAGGTACTGTCCCCATTTAGATTAGTAGAAGAGATGGTCAAGACAACTGAGAAAGGACCTGAAAACATCTCAGACATCAGAGGACCAGACTTCTAGGAAGCTGACTGATTTCAAAAGACAGCGTATGCTATGCTCCACAGTCCCAGCATCCAACACCACCTTGAGCATGCTCCCTGAATTCTGCCACAGCATTCTTTGGCTATTCTGTCTGTGGCTCAAAAAGCCCCACATGCAGCTTGAGCTGCTGCTCCAGTAGGCACAAGTTGTTACGCTTGGCAGAGTCCATGAAACAT